TTTATTCCCAAGTATTTAATCTTGTGATTAGCTATTGTGAAAGGTATTGTTTCTCTTAGTTCTGGCTCTGTATTCTTTTTGTCGCCGTAGAGAGCAGTTTTATTCTATCACACAGGAACTTTTTGAGTTGGAATTAACTCAATAGAGTGTGTGTGTGTGCGCGCACGCGCGCACACACGCGCACGCGCGCACGCATGTGTGTGTATATAATAAATACGTGATCTTACAGAATTTGTATTCGAACCCTAGAATGTGAAAGTTTTCTACCTCTGCACAGGTATCAGCCAAAGAGCTAGCTCATTCCCCAGTAATATGAACAGTGACAATAAAAAAAAAGAAAGAAAAACTCACTGTCTGATTGAATAGGAATGTTAATGGCACAAGAACTAGTACCAAAGATATTTGAAGCTAATTCTCTCAAGGCACTGGGATTAGAAGAAGACCAATAGCTAAGGATGCCACACCTGGAATGGAGGGAATACACAGGGAGAGTACAATGATTCCTCAGTGTCAGAAAGGCCAAAGACCAGTAAGGAGAGCAGCTTGGTGAGGGAGCCCTACCTGAAGGTTCTTCTTGTTAGTGATTTTGTGAGAAGAGTTTCACTCTCAAAAAACACATGCCTTTCTTTTATAAGTTTCCATTTTCCCTCAGTCTTTGGTTGTAACATCCATTGACATGCCTTTGGAGAATGGAGAGATAGAGCTTCTTGGATTGTCCTTGTTGTTGTGTTGTTAAGTGCCATTGAGTCATAGATGACTCATAGTGACCCTATGAACGAAGGACCTTAATACTGTTCATAGACCGGGGCAAGCCATTTTGCAAGTGGATGTCCTTAGCTAAGTAAAAAGAAGTACATTACCCAGATTACAGCTATAGTGAATGATTGATCATTCCTGGGCTCACATTTTAGGGTAAAGATGTGAGGTTATCATTTAAAGAAGAAAAGTTGACACTCAGAAAAAAGACAGTGTGCTTATAAAATGAGTATGCCTTTTACGGGAGTAATCAAATCAATGTAGGAACAAGAATCAACACTCAGAAATATTTTCCTTGGACAAGTCTGATAGTATACCAGTAAGCAAAGTATAACCAAATCAGATATATAAGTATGCAGAAAAAAAAAAGACCCAGGGAAAATTTACATCCAAAAAGAAGTGGAAACTTCATGAAGCCGCACTGAGAATAGACTCCTGTGTCCAATCTAAAAACTGATGCAGAAATTCTAACTCCAGGAAGGTATTTGGAGGTGGAAGAATGATGCCAATGCAACTCACTGTCTTCTTCATGCTCCTCTACGTCCTGCTGTCGTTGACAATCGTTGTGCAGAGCACCTTCATTGTTGCAGTGTTGGGCAGGGAATGGGTGAAGGTCAAAAGGCTGTCACCCTTGGACATGATCCTTATCAGCCTGGGCGTCTCCAAACTCTGTCTGCAGTGCATATCCATATTTTACAACTTTTACTCCTACTTTGATTATAATTATATATGTTTGCGTGTAGGGACCACGTGGCATGTTGTTAACACTGCCATCTTTTGGTTCAACAGCTTGCTTGCCGTCTTCTACTGTGTCAAGGTCTCTTCCTTTACCCATCCCATCTTCCTCTGGTTGAAGTGGAGGATTTCAAGGCTGGTTCCCTGGATGCTGCTGGGCACTCTGCTGATTTCTTGTATGGTCTGCATCCCTTCAACGATTCAAGATCACCTTTGGTTTCAACTCAATGTGAAGAGTTTTACTGCCAACTCCACTATGCTTGAGAGACTTAGTGTCTTCCAACAGTATGCTGGGATCCCTCATCAGATAGTTATGTTGATGATTCCTTTCCTCCTATTCCTGGCCTCCATTATCATGCTTATCGCCTCATTGTTGCAACACTGGAGACAAATGAAACACCATAGCCCTGGCCACTCCAGCAAGGATGTCCACTTTGCAGCCCTCAAGTCTTTAGCCATCTTTCTCATCTTCTTCTCCTCTTACTTTCTGACTGTATTTATCTCCATTATAGGCTATCTTTTTGAGAAGCAGTCCTGGTTCTGGATTTGGGAAGCTGTTATCTATGCCGGCAGTTGTGTTCATTCCACTTCACTTACTCTGAGCAGCCCTACTCTGAGAAAATATCTGAAGAAAATGTGTTGAGGCCAATGACAGCGCCTTGGAAATTTCAGCTTCCATCTACAGCAAGACATAGTAAGGTATTGTCCTAAAGACTCTTTCATTTCTTAAGTAATTCTAATGCTTTGTTGTTTTTGTTGTATAGCATCGAGTTGGAACCGACCCATAGCTGACTCTCTGGTGGGTTTTCAGAAGCAGTTAATCACAGGGGAGGAGATTGCCCATCCCATGAAGCAGGTGGTAGATTTGGATTGTGTTAGAAATTACAAATATTTTTAAAGTTTTTATACATATTTTGAGAGTGTCTAATAATCTGAAGTCTGTCATAAAATAAAAGCCTGAGTCACTTCTTGAGAGGAACCCATGGAGGAAATACCAAATGCATTTAAAGCTTGACTGTTAAACAAAGAGTTAGTACCTGGAAAGAAATGAAATTTCTGATCTTATCCATGTGTCTAAACTGGGTTTATCTCCCTTGACACCTCCCTTGAGATTAAGGCAACCATGGACATGAGATATGAGTAAAAGCTAACCTATCATTTCCCTTCAATACTTTGCACTGTTTGATATCTCTCAGTAGCATACTTTGAGATCTATGTTCAGAAGTGGAATGGAATTTTCAGAATGTAAGGAATATCTAGAAGGTGCTTTGAGTTGAAAATGACTTGGAGACAGTGATCATGTTTATTGAGTAATATCTAGAGAGTCGAGTCCTAGCTCATGATGGAATTGAGCAGAAGGCATAAAAAAGAACACGGTATATATTAACATAATTGGAGATAATCAAAGTTCTGTAAATCCCCCTAAGACTTCATGAATGTGTGGGTCACTGAGGAAAAGGTGGGTCACAAAGACTTTGGATCCTCTTGAAAACAGTTATTGCAATAAGGATTCTTGCTATATATGTGACCTTATTTGTTTCCACAATCAGACGGGGTCTTGCATTATATTAACTTCAGAGAGCTGGTAGAAATAAAAATTATAAAAAAAAATTATTATCCTCCCATGTGTATTAAACAGACCACAGACGAGAAAAAAATATTGTCTATGTATACATACAGAAAGAATTCCAACATATCTAAATAATTTCAGTTGTATAACCTTTCCCTTTTAAGTACCAAGAAATGGAATTTAAGAATAAGAGAAACATGATATAGGGCTTCATAGCAAATAAAATGCCATTGTCTTATTATCAAATTTTTTAAAAATAAGATAGGAACAGAAAGAATAACCCTGCCTACACGTGAAGAGCACTCTATAGTTCACCAGTTCCAACTTATGATATCTATCAGTACTAGTTTCCAAAGCACAAGAATACATTTTCTTATTTTGAACTCTAAAGGCAGGCCAACATCTTCCATCTGCCAAGCTAATCTGGTCCAAGCATAGACCAAAATGCTCAATAGATGTACATAAGTTCATATTGCTCATTAATAGAAATTCTAAATTCAAAACCAAAGAAAAAGATCCTAAGGGATAGATTTTAAAGGAATTTTACTTTAGAAAATGGGATTAGGATTTAAAGGCAGTTGCATACAGGGAAAATACAACTCACTCATTGATGTCCTGTTGGAACCAACTCATCATTAACCCTCAATTGTAAATCCCATGGGAGGAAAATATTATATTATTTTTCTCCCAAGCAGCAGCTGATTAATTCAAAACCACTAGAAAGTTACCACGTTTGGGTTTGGAGTACAATACCCTGTGGACTACACAACCAATGATCCCTAAAAGAATAACAGAGCACTTTGAGATAAGAAAACTCTTTGGGACACTTGAGTAAGCTTTTTATGAAATGAAGGCACTTATAATCTGTGCATCTGTGCTGTCCAATTTAAGAATACTCAGTTCACCCTAAGTATTGTTCACTTTCTATGGTGTAGATAATGTACAAAACCTAAAAGGACTATGTTTTCAGGAGTGACCTCACTCTTAACCCTTTTCTGAATCTAGCTTGATTTCTGCCAGTTCTCTGTTGAAGTGTTGCTGTAGTGATTTTTTCATTATCTTCAGCAAAGCTTTTTACGTTACACTGTTCAATAAATTCCCTATTCTATGGGATGAATTCTCTTTAGAATTGGCCAAGTAAGTATTTTCCAAATTTCTTGCTGTAGACAGCATCAGTTCTCAAAGAGCAAAATATATTTCCCCCCAAAGGGCATTACGTCTATTTGTTGAAAGATCTCATTTGATTTTTATTAATTCTTAGATACTATTGTTTCTATTATTTTCACCAATACCTCAGTAAAGCTTGGTACTCATTAAGTACCAAGATTCTTGATCGCATGCTATGTTGTCTCACTTGTCTAGTGTTGTTATAACAGAAATATCGCAAGTGAATGCCTTTAACAAGCAGAAAGTTATTTTCTCGCAGAATAAGAGGCTAGAAATCTAGATTCAGAGTGCTGGCTGTTGGAAAGGCACTCTTTCTGTAAACTCTGTAAAAAGTCCTTAACACTTCAACTTGGAAAACCTGAAGTGATTGCTGAAGAATATCCAAAGATTCCAGTTTTCAATATAGCTTACATTTCAATATTAAGAAAACAAAAGTCCTCACCACTGGACCACCAAGCAACATCATGACAGATGATCTAAAATTGAAATTATCAACAATCTAATCTTGTTTGGATCCACAATCAACCCCTTTGGTACCGACAGTCACATTAAGAGAGTATACATTGGAAAAGTCTGCTGTTAGGGACCGCTGATGGCCTTGTGACAAGATGCTGTGCTGCAATCCCAAAGACACAGGATTCAAGGCCACCAGTTGCTCCATGGGAGAAGTATGGGCAATCTCCTCCCATGCAATTAATTGCCTCTGAAAACCCACTGAAGGGTCAGCTACGGGTTGGTTCCAACTCTACAGCACACAATAACAACATTCCTTGGAAAGGAAAATCATGCTCTGAAAAGTGAAAGCGAGATGAATTGACACAGTGACTGCAGCAATGGTCTCAAATGATGAGGAAGGTGCAGAATAGGACAGGGTTCAGATCTGATGTTTGCAGTGTCACTACCATTCATAATCGACTTGACCACAGTTAGAAACATACACACACACGTGTGTGTGCATACACATACATGCATATATACACGGATTTCTGGTTCCCTAATGGTAAGGAGTTACATTGTCAACCCAAAGACATAGAGTTCGAATCTACAAGCTACTCTTAGGGAAAAAGATGGACAATCTCTTCCAATGCAAATTACAGCCTCTGAAAGCCCACTGGATGGTCAGCTATGAGTTGATTCTGACTTGATGGCAATAATCAAGAAATATCTTTTCTTGATTTTATAAAGTTATTTAAACATACATGTATAAGTCATTATGGTGTATACTTTTTTTTTAAATTTTTTATTTTTTTATTTATTTTTTTTTACAGAGGTTTTGGATTTCCATTCATTCATTGCCGCAATTTTCTCCCTTCCCACCCCTCCCCACCAGTTCGCTTCCCCCTCCGAAGAGAGAAAAAAGAAAAAAAACAAAAAAAAAATGCCTTCATTAGTATACAATTCCCACGTCCCTTCCCCCCACCCCCCACCCCGAGTACACTTCTCTATGCAACCTTAATTCTGGATTCCTGTGCTAACCATAATACTCAATCATATATCACTTCTAATCTGTTCTTTCCCTCATCTGTTTCAATACAATATACATCATTTATTCAGTTTTTTCTGTCATACCCCAACCCTGATGACAGACCCATTCTACAACAGTGGCACCATGCAGTATTTGTCCCTTTGTGACTGAGATATTTCACTCAGCATAATGTCCTCCAGGGTCACCCACTTTGAATAATATTGCATGAGTTCCTTGTTTTTCAATGCTGCGTAGTATTCCATTGTGTGACTATACCACAGCTTCTCTATCCATTCGTTTGTTGATGGGCCCTTAGGCTGCTTCCAACTCTTTGCTATTGTAAACAAAGCTGCAATAAACATGGGTGTGCATATATCTGCTTGGATGGCAGACATGGTCTCTCTGGGGTATATTCCCAGTAATGGGATTGCTGGGTCAAATGGTATCTCTATTTGCAATTTTTTGAGAAAGCGCCACACCGCCTTCCACAATGGTTGCACCATCTTACATTCCCACCAACAGTGAATAAGAGTTCCAGTTTCTCCACATCCTTGCCAGCATTTGTTGCTTGCTGTTCTGTTATATTTTGCTATTCTTACTGGGGTGAGATGATATCTCATAGTTGTTTTTATGGTGTATACTTCGATGATGCACTTTATACTGTTATGATGTATTTATAATGCTTTCAAATACCTATTTATATGCCTTATATGTTTTAATAACTTATATATCATGTGTAGTGCAATGTGCAGTTTGAAGAATTCCTGAATTTATAAGTAGAAACATACACACTTCTATAATTCTCTTTATTTATTATCTGTAAATTGTTAGAAATTTGTTCTATACTTGAAAATAGGATTACATAAATAAGAAGTAGATCCTAAATAACTTTCTGAAAATTGGGCTGTATATGTCCACTCTGTGATAGTGGAAGGTAACATTAATCCACTCTCTATAACTTAGCAAAATATGTCACTAAACTATACGAATAATTTTAATTCATTAACTCTGTCTCAAAACATATGCTGTAAACAAGACCATACATATGCCAGGCCCTAATTGGCGCCAATTCAAATGTCTATAAAGCTGTAACAGAAGTGTACACTAATGCACTTAACTGTCAATAAAACATAGCAATTATATTTTAATACGACAGCACACAAGGTATATAAACCTATGAATTTCTGTTCGTTTTGCGAGAAGAAGAAAAAGATCTGTCTGACCCTCTGCCTGAAGGAAACAAAGGCTGCTGGATAACTCCACAGAGGATCTTCTCTGAATTGGATGGCTGGTCAAGTCGACTCCCTGAGGTCAATCATCAGAGGTAAAATGTTTGATGTCTGGACTCTAATATCTAAATTTACACTGTAATTGTTAATTCTAACTCTGCAATATGAAATATCCTGAGGTCTTACATGCCTTTCCATAACTACCATGTAAT